GCGCAGGTAGGTCAGGGGTGGCTGCAGGGAGAGCAGGTGCGGAGAGGGACCGTCGCGTGCCACGGGGCGCACGACGGGCAAGTTTAAGTTTAGGGCCCGGTCGTGTGCCTCAGGGCGCACGACGAGCAGGGCACCGTCGCGTGCCACGGGGCGCACGATGGGCAGGTTTAGGGCACTGTCGCGTGCCACGCGGCGCGCGACGGGCAGAGAAGGAGTCACTCGCCAACCGGGGGCGGGACAAGAGAAAATCGCCACGCGCCCTAGGCGCACGACCGGGAAAAATAGCGGCGGAAGCATATTGGCGGGCCCACGGGCCAGGACGTAAAACGCTCTGATAGCATGTTAAAGTTAGAAGAAAGAAGAGGGACTGCACTAGCAAGAATGGGGATACAAATAGGAAACCCTAGAAGGGTTGTACTCGCTATAGAGCACCCCACTATAGGCTAGAGCATAAGATAACATTCTGACACAGTACACTTATCAATCGATGATGGCGTACACGATACTACTGAGGAACGTCACTCCAACTCAACAACAAAACATACGGTCTTACCGAGGCTACGGCAACTCCGCGGAGCTCGCGTACAATCACTTGAAGAGCCTGTATCAAGCAACAGACAGCGTAAACCAAAGTCGGTTAATGGCGCAGTTGACAACGGTTGAAATGAAACAAGGGGAGAAAGGAATGGCGTATATCAGTCGATGTCGCGAGTTGCGCGACAAGCTTCTTCGATGCGGAGGGTCAATTTCTGAAGACGCCTTCGTGACAGTCATCATCGCCGGACTCGGTCCTCAATGACGCGCCACAAAGGCCATCCTCCGAGCTCACAGAAGAATCTCCGAAGCAGCACTTTGCGCCGAAGTCCATGCTGAGCAGCAAGACATGGACCTGCAAGAAGAACGACACAGAAAGAAGACATCAGCACCGGATTTCGCGTTCCACACTCAGCAACGTTACAACAACAACAACAACCGGCAGCAACACCCAAAGCCAGTACCCCCGTTCTGCCACATCTGCAAAACTTCAGGACACCCGCGTACACACTGCCCAAATCGACAACAGTCAACAACTCCACAGCGGCAACTTCGACCTTCAAGCACTCATGTCGCCTCAACGCAAGCAAATCCGAAAACTTCAAAACAAGTCTCAACAACATCGACGAGACAACATGCAAAAGAAACAAGAAACATCGTCAGCTGCATGGCAAGGCTGAGTGACTCCTGCATAACTGAGCCACCACCATACTACTCACCAGAAGAACAACTCGACAACAGCACACCTCGTCCCGAGTCACTTCAACCGAACCCGACATACGCCGCCATCGCTCAAAGCGAGCCGTCCGGGAAGGATACATGGTTCTTGGACAGTTGCTGCGGACAGCACATGTGTTCCTCGGGACGCTTCGTTCAACGCGAGCACCGACTTCAACGAGAGGTCGTCATCACAGTCACCAATAACCAGAACCTGCGCACACGACGACAAGGGATTGTGCAACTTCAGTCACGAGAGACGAATGTCATACTACAAATGACCAAAGTCATAATAGCAGAAGGACTTGGCTACAACTTACTGAGCGTCAGTCAGTTGATGGCGAAAGGCATACACCTCGAAGCAGACAGCACCACCCAAGAATTCAAGTTGTATCACGGGAGAGGAGGTCTCTCCATCGGCAAGGCGGTCCTCAAGAACAACGTCTTCGTCCTCGATTTTGTCCCTGGCCTTGGCACCGCCGACAGCGACGCCATCGTTAACTTCACCGACTGGACACACCCTCCAGACCTTGATCCAGACTTCAGTCGAGAAGGCTTTTGGTATTCACATACCATTCCTGAAGCAGAACGAACTCGCGCGTTAGTAACAATACAACATTCAACAGCAGTAGAGACAACATCGACAGCAGCAGAGACAACATCGGCAGAAACAGCATCGGCAGAAACAACATCGGCAGAAACAACATCGGGAGCAGCAGAACCATCAACGGCAGCAACATGAACGTCAACACCAATCGCTGGTACTTCAACGACACCGCTCCTCATCGACGACACACCACCAACACCAGCACAACAGCTCCATCCAGCACCACGAGAAGTTCATCGTAGCGCAAACTTCACCGCCAGCTTCTACTCCAACTCCGATATGTACCGACGATCACCCTAACATCGGGCCGACGAAAGCACCTGGCACGCAAGGATGGGACACCCAAGCAACACAGTCTTAAACAATACGATAAGAGCAGGAGTACTCGACAAGGACTCACTTCTGCTGACCAACGGACGAGAACTCCAACGAGTACGCGGAACGTGCTTCACCTGCCCCGAAGGTGACTTACCACATCGACCGTTTACGCCTCATCAGAACCCGAGCACTTACTATTTTCGAGTACAACGCCTATTTTCGAAGTGCACGTACAATTGCCCAGAAAACCGCCGCGCGCCTCGGGGCGCACGGCGGGAAGAAAAACTGCCGCACGCCACGGGGCGTGCGGCACAGAGAGTAGCAGTAGCAGTTGCAGCGGAAGCAACGAGGTGGTGAGCCCACCCACAGGATCGATCCAAGGGGATCGACCTGCTTTGATACCATGTGAAAGTTTAGAAGAAAGGAGAGCGTTGCACTAGCAAGAATGAGGATACAAATAGCAAACCCTAGAAGGGTTGTATTCGCTATAGAGCACCCCACTACAGGCTAGAGCATAACATTCTGACATACGCGACTACCAGAGAAAGCTGGGCTGCCTTCTCTTCGCAGCTGTCACCTGTCGTCCAGATCTATCGTACTCTGCAAGCCAGCTTGCCACCTACCTCAAGAGGCCCGAAACGGAACATCTAGCAGAACTCAACCGTGCTCTTCACTATCTCATTAGCACCCCGACGATTGGACTAACTTACTACAAGAACGCAACTACGCCGCCTAAGTTAATCGGCTACGTCGACGCCGATCACGCTGGCGACTCTGACAACCGGCATTCTCGCACTGGCTACGTCTACCGCCTCGAACCTATCGGACCTATCTCTTGGCAGTCGAGCAAGCAGGAATTAATTGCCCTCTCGTCAGCTGAAGCAGAATATATCGCACTCTGTTCAGCCACCAAGGAAGGACTTTATCTTCGCGAACTGCTAGAAGAAGCGAAGCTGGCTCCGTTACCGTGCTTCACTCTGTTCTGCGACAACCAGTTGGCAATTCGCATCGCCAACAAGAACGGCTTCGCGAACAGGACGAAACACATCGCCCTGAGATACTTCTTCGTGAAGGACGAGATCGAAAAAGGAAGGCTTGAGCTGTCATACTGCCCCACGTCCGAGATGGCAGCTGACTACTTGACCAAGAAGCTCGGAAAGTAGAAGTTCGAGTACTGCATGCTGCTGACTGGACAGAGCCACGTCACCAACAGCAACACTCTAGAAGCGAAGGGGGGTGTTGGAAACAATTATGGTTAAGCGCCTCTGTCATGTCGAAACACTAAGGCACAAGCGAAGTAAAGCATATCGAGGCACCAGCGAGTCAACCCTCGAAGGTTGAAGTAACTGCTGGAGGTTACGCGAAAGTCAAAGGTCAGCGACCTTTGACTTTACAAGTACAGCGCGACAGCAAGGACACACAACTGACTCACTACAGAGCAGTTGCCCGAGTCGTCACTGTATCGAACCGCAACAGCAACAGTAAAACAGTTACCGTATCGCACCGGATATAGGCGCCGTCCAATTAAAGGCGCCGGCGCTTCTATCTGGAGCATGGCGCCTATGGCCGGAATTCGATTATAAGCGCCCCCCCCCTAGAAAACCTTTACTTGTTATAAGCGCATATGCGATTTGAATTTAAATTCTTGCCTAAAACTGTAACGAAATCCATTTTTGCAGCGAGTCAGATTTCAATTTCGCTTCGTTCGACTCGTGAAGACCTGACTGGCTGCGCGTCCAGTCAGGATGTGCTGGAATGACGTGGCTTTGCCTGTGTGTGAACCCAGAATATCGCTTGTGCGAGATTCTGCATTGTGACGCTAAAACATTTCGACTCGGTTGAAATGGCAAGAAGAAAATGAACAATTTGGTGCTCTAAAATTATAATTTCGTATTTGTCATTATATAAGCGCCGGCGGTTATGGCCGTTACTCAATTACAAGCGCCCCCCCTCAAAAAAATGATTTTATTATAAGCGCATATGCGCCTATATCCGGGGCCATACGGTATAACCGTATCCTTTCATATTCCTTGTACTCCTATATAATCTTGTATCTCTTTGTTTTTATCAACTTACTTTGCCCTCACATACTAGCGCAAGGTGGTTCACAATCTTTTCAAAACGCTTCCGCTATTACATTGATACTACCCAGAGTTCACCCCTGCAAAGATCCCAAGGGCTTTTCTCAGCCCAACACATTACTAGTATAGGCTTTGTAAGGTGCATACTAAGCAACAATTTGTGTTGGGTATTTCATGCCCATAGTGGTAGCTCCTACTCTCTGGCTCTTAATCGCTTCTGTGCTTACACTGTGCCTTTCTCTTAGGGTTGACCACGTGGTCGCAGCATTTTGACACACGTCATTTGTCGCGTCATTGGCACACGTCGATGTTTTGGCACACGTCGATGTTCTGCCACGCTGGGATGCATGTAGCTAACAGATCAAGAATCCGGATCTAACTCGAGCAATCGCTACGCACCACATGTACGTGTGCGAGCTCTCAGGACCCACACTTCAGTGGTGAGTCTGACTGACCAGGAAGGGGGCAGACGAGATGACACTTGTATTTCCGCAGTGAATGCCATTTCCATACCCAATTTACAATTTTGTTATCACTCCGGCTCTGCAGCGAATTGGCGATATCGCATAACAAAATTTCTCGTCGCCGCGCCACTACCCCAGCACCAAGCAGAGTCGTGTCGTATGAGCGTGCTCCGTCCAGTTCAGAGTATGGTTCCTGGTCCCGGCAGCGCGTCTCTCGTGGGTCCTCTCTCTCCGTCGCCACTGTCGTCGCTAGCGTCGCTCTCGTCGCAATCTCTTTCCATGCGACACTACCGCTGGGCTCTACTCGCCATACCCCTCGCTCCCACTCTGATCCTCTCGGCTCCGCGCGCCCACGCCGTTATGGCTTCCGCCTCCGGTCCGTCACCGTCAACGTCAGCGGTTGCTGATCCGTCAAAGTTCGGCTACCGGTCGACGGCGGAAGATGTGACGGCGGGCGTCGATTTGAGCGGCAAAGTGGCAATCGTAATGGGTAAGAGCATCGATGATTCGGTTTCGCCGTATGCAGTAAACGGGAGGAAACGGGAGACAAATTGGAGAGGAACGGGGAGAAACGGGGAAAAGAGGGGGGAATACGGGGGTGAGGGGAGAGAATGTGGATCAGAAATATCCTGCGTGTTTGTGTGGTACGGGAAAGGATAAAAGGGCACGGTAGAAGGGAGGACATGTGAGGGGACGGGGGGGGAGGAGGGGGAGGTGGTGAGGAGTAGGGATGCTTTGATACCGCTGATGTGAGGCACGGGAGCAGCAAGTGCAGCGGCAGTATGAGCTATTCTCTCCCACTCTCCTAGCACCTTCCACCCAACGAGTCTTTACCACCCTTGCATTTCTTTCTCGTCTTCGCCTTTCTCAATCAAACTGATCTTTCTCATCCGCTCGTCCGCCCGTCTTCTCGTCCTCTCGTCCTTGCCAGTACTTCCACTCCCCTCTCTTTTCCACCCTAGTCTCTTCCCCGCGCCATTGTGAAAAAGCGTGTAAGACGCCTCAAAAGCTGTTTGTGCCATGTCTGAAAAAAATTTCAGTCCTCCACTCCAGCCTTCCTCCTCCCCCGCGCCCAAATTCATTCAGCACTCGCGAATTCCCCTTCCCGCGCGAACCTCGTCCTCGTGCCAATGTTCTCCCCACGCGCGCATGTCGCCCCTCTCTCTTTCCGCCGCGCTAATTTCTTCTTCCTCCCCCTCTCCCGACACCCTTCTGGCGCGAATTTCCTCCCCCCAGGCGGCAGCAGCGGCATCGGCACGGAGACGGCGCGGGTGCTGGCGCTGCGAGGCGCGTCCGTGGTGCTCGCGGTGCGGAACACGGAGGCGGGGGAGGCCGCCAAAGCCGCCATCATCAAGGACATCGAGGGGCGGAGCGCAGCGGCGGCGGGGGTTCCGGCGGCGGTGCGCGAGCGCGTGAGCGTGATGCCGCTGGATTTGGCGTCGCTCAAGTCGGTGCGCGCGTTCGCCGCGGATTACTTGCGCCCTAACCGCCCGCTGCACCTGCTCATGTACGCGCGGAGATGGAAGTGGTGCGGGGGGGAGGGGAGGGGGCGAGGGAGGGGGAGGGGGTGAGTGGGTGAAGAAGGGGGAGGGCAGGGGTGGAACGGGGTGGAGGGGCGGGAGGAGGGGAATGGGAGGAATAGGGGGAATGGGGTAAATGGAGGGGCATTGGGCTTCTATGATAACAGGTTTAGTTGAGCTTAAATGATCTGCTGTTGGTGCTGCCCCACTGCCATGCTGCCCCACTGCCATGCTGCCCCACTGCTATGCTGCCCCACTGCCATGCTGCCCCACTGCCATGCCGCCCCACTGCCATGCTGCTCCACTGCCATGCTGCTCCACTGCCATGCTGCTCCACTGCCATGCTGCTCCACTGCCATGCTGCTCCACTGCCATGCTGCTCCACTGCCATGTTGCTCCACTGCCATGCTGCTCCACTGCCATGCTGCTCCACTGCCATGCTGCTCCACTGCCATGCTGCTCCACTGCCATGCTGCTCCACTGCCATGCTGCCCCACTGCCATGCTGCTCCACTGCCATGCTGCTCCACTGCCATGCTGCTCCACTGCCTTCCCTCGCTCCCTCCCTCCCAGCTTCCCTGCCTACCTACCCATTATGCTAGTCATTCTACTTTTTCTCCTTATTTTATTCCGCTCGTTCAGACCTTCCCCCTCTCCCCGAACCCACCCCACCGTCCCCTTTCCTTCGTCACTTCCTATGCAACAACCCCCCACTCGCCCGCCCAACCAATCCCACCACGGCCCACCCAACCTCAACCAACCCCTCCCCATCCCACCCCACCCCGGGCAGCAACAATGCGGGCGTGATGATATGCCCGTTCATGCTCACTGCGGACGGCCATGAGAACCAGTTCGGCACCAATCACGTGGGTGAGTGCAGGGAGGCAACCACGTGGGTGAGTGCAGGGGAACAGCAACCACGTGGGTGAGTGCAGGGAGGCAACCACGTGGGTGAGTGCAGGGAGGCAACCACGTGGATGAGTGCAGGGAGGCAACCACGTGGGCGAGTGTATGGGAGTAGCGACCATGAGGGTGAGTGCAGGGGAGCAGCAATGACGTGGGTGAGGCAAGCAAGCAGATTACATGCGCACAGCATGGGTGGCGGGGTGGAGTGTGAGGGAAGAATGGGAGTTTGGGGAGTGAAGCAGAGTCTACCAGTTGGTTGTTCACTTTCTAGGCTCGAGTGCATTTGTTGCGTTCCTAAGCTCATGGAGCTTTCAGGCTGATCGCACCACACCTCCACTGCCTCCCTCTCCCCCTTTCTTCCGTCCCCTCCGCCCCCCCTCCCCCCCTCTTCCCTTCCATCCCCTTCCCCCCTTCCTCCGCACACATCCCCCACCCAATTGCATCGCACGTCGTACCCCCTTTAGGCCACTTCCTACTGACCAACCTGCTGCTGCCGAAGCTCAAGGAAACCGCCAAGCAGGAGGGCGCAGAGGCGCGCATCGTGATCGTGTCCTCCGCCGCCTACCAGTTCCCGTACCCGGGTGGCATCCGTTTTGATGCCATCATGCTAAGGAGGGGTACGACTCCATGAGGGCGTACGGGCAGTCCAAGCTCGCTAATATCCTGCACGCTCGGGAGCTCGCACGGCGGTTCAAGGTGCGTGGCTGTGGGAGAGGAGGGTGTGTATGAAGGAGCGGGTGTGTGTGGTGGGTGGGTGGGTATGCATGTGTACAGGAATGTGCGCGCGTATTTGTATGAGTGGGAGGGGAAGTGAAGATGTAGGCAGGGAAAACGCGCCGGGAAAACTTTGTTCTCTTTGATGCCAGTCTTAAATTCCTCACCAAATATAGCTTCCTCCTCGTCCCCACTCTCCCAACCCTCTCCTTTTGAAAACCCCTGTACAGGTATGACTGTGATTGCTCTGTACCCAGGGGTGATTGACCCTCAACAGAGGCAATCTCTGTTCTACTCACCAACACCCTCCCTCACCCTCCTTCTTTCCCTCTCTCCCCTTCCTGTCTCTCCCTTTATGCATGCGAGTAGGAGGAGGGTGCAGGAGTGACAGTGAATGCATTGCACCCGGGGGTGATTGACACCAACCCCTCACGCCACATAGTGCCGCCAGGGACCATCTGGCACACCCTCGGACGTATGGTGTTCCAGCCTGGTGTTCCAGTGGTTCATGAAGACCATTCCTCAGGTAAAAGTCCAACTCTGCTGCAAGAATGATCATGAGTGTGATCGGAGCGTTGCCTCTACTTTACCAACCCCTCACCCCTCCTCACCTCACCTCACCTCACCTCTCCTCACCTCACCTCACCTCACCTCACCTCGCCTCACCACTGCCACCTTTCACTGCTGCATGGTTGGGTGCCAGCACATCCCCATGTTCATGTGGACACTGCTTGCAACGAAGCCCAATGGGGCTACTTCTCATGCTCCATTACCTTCCAACCTTTCCCCCTCCTCCCCCTTCCTTCCACTCAAGCCACACCATCCTGCGTCCTTCACCATTTTCTGGTGCGAGCTCCTTCCGCCCATCCCCCTCTTTCCTCTCACACACTCCTTCCACCTCCACCTAACCACCTCTTATCCTCAACCACTCCCCTGTCTTTCCCTCAGGGTGCAGCCACGTCATGCTTCCTTGCAGCGCACCCCTCAGTGGCGGGTGCGAGTGGGGGCTACTACGCAGACTCGCGGGCAGCAGAGGGCAAGGCCACAGCGCTGAGCAAGGACATGGAGCTGGCTGGGAAGCTGTGGGAGCTCAGTGAGCAGGTGGCCAGCAAGCAGTGATGCTGGATGGTGTGGTGTGAGGGAGGGAGTGGAAGAGTGTGGGACAGGGGTGGGAGTGGACGAGAGTGGGAGTGTAGGTGTGAATGAATGACCTTGGAGTTTGATGCTTGCGCAGATGTGTGTCCGATCCGAAGCACAGCAAGTACCGCATGTGTAACTGGTAAGTGAGGAGCTGTGGGAGGGAGAAGTCCTGGGCTTAGCTCAGATGCTGGGAGAGGATATACGTGGCAGGCAAGGTCACTTGCTACCTGATGGTCGTTACAGTACTTAGTTATTGTAAGTAGAGGAGCTAGCATCCTGTACCATAATCTTTGTTTTCAATGTGCTAGCTGACGAGAGTCTTCAAGGCTAAAACTGGAATTCGAGTACCGTAACCTTGGGCTTTGAATCAGGGCCCTCTTTTGCAGGGTACTGCTAGGTATTTTACTCTCATACCGTATTGTGCTGCAGCTGCCACACTTGGTATGGTTAGACATTCTCAGCCCACCACCTATTGTACACCATTCTCTTTTCGAAAACAAATTCGTTACATGAGAAAGACAAAGATTGAGGGTTAAGAGCATATGCTTTTTATCCTGCTTTTTCTTCATAGGCAAATTAAGAGAGTTGATTACAAGCACCTTAGCAAAGGAGAAGGCAAAAAACCATAAGCCCCAACCATAAACCATGAGCCTCACGCAGCATCAGTCTCAGATGCTGAATGCTTGGCAATACTGCAATTGAGAAAGCTTGCTTTCTTGTCCTTATAATTTGGCATCGTTCTCATTGCAACTGGCTTATTACAACATATGCATCGTTCGTAAACACATGCTAGTACATGCAAATATTATTAGCTATGGAGTCGTCCGTCCAAGCAGCTGTGGTCTTGTAGTTGGTCCGGGGTGGGTGGTGGGGATGTTGATTGAGCCGTTGGAAAACGAGAAACGTGGGTGGAGGGAATGAACTCCAACCCACGGTTTTTGTAGTTGGAGAAGGGCGTTTAGCGCGCTTCGACGCTGCCAAATATTCGGTACTGTCAGCTTCGCTTTCACAATACACAATTTTGAAAAACATCAATGTGTTTAAAAATTATAATATTGAGAAAGCTTGCTTTCTTGTCCTTATAATTTGGCATCGTTCTCATTGCAACTGGGGCCTCTGAGACATGGCCAGTGGTGGCTTGCGGTTGCGTAAGAGTGCCTCTGCGTGCTGTTCTGGGGGCAGCGCGTATGTCGGGTCCTGTAGGTCGCGGGATGCCTTGATAAGATGTCCGACGTATGGTGTGACGTACATCTCTTTGGCGGTGTCACTTCGCCACCTGCCCATCCTTTTGAAGATTCTGTCCGGCACGCCGATGTTGGCGGCTACGGTTGCCGCGCCCTTTCGGAAGGAGTGCGTGCCGAGCTGCTGCTCCCCAAGTCCTACTTTGGCGAATGCTTCTTTACACCAGTTTCGGATCGTTGTGTACGAGGGTGGCTTGGCCTGGCCCTTGTTGGCTGAAGCGTGGCTGAAAACGCGAATCAACGACCCCTCGGAATGAGGGCCATAGCCAGCGAGTTGGAGGAAGCGTTGGGTGCAGCGCACGGGGCAACAAGGGTCCGTCGTTGCGGCGATGGGAATCCAGGTTCCACGACCAGCCTGGTCCGTTTTTGAGTGTGGGATGAGGATCCACATGACTGCATCGTCGAATTGGATGTCTTGCCACTGGATGGCAACGAGGTCGGAGTATCGCAAAAATCCGGAGTACATGAGGATAGGGATCAACCCCTTCTGAAATTCAGCGGGATTGTCCGACTGCAAGTAGTTCGCGGACATGTCCCGAACTTGTTGGATTGATACAGGCTCCTTCAAACGACTAGGGCGAGGGCAGTGTCGTTTCGCGTAGTCCCGCACTTGGGTGGTAAACGGTCCGACAGTCGGGCATTTGCTTCCAGTCATGCGATGGGCGAAGCTGACTGCCGAGCACGTGAGCTGCACTACAGACAAGGTTGCTTTGCGTTGGATTGCATGCACCAAGTATAGCGCGAGGGTCATGTCGGATGCGGGAAGAAATGGAAGATCCACCTTTGTGCAGAAGGCCCGAAACTTGGCCCAGTACGGTTCGTATGTACGGATTGTCGAATTCGCTCGCGATTGTGTGAGCATGTTGATGAGTTGGTTGTGTAGCTTTGGGAGCGGATCTGGACACAAGGCGCGTACATTCTCAATTAGTCAAAAACCACCCGAAGTGCGATGATTGGGTTGTGTGGTAATCCAATGCCTGAAAAAGCAGCGGAATGTGTTCCAGCTGCCAGGCATTGGCTGCCGTGTGTCAAGGGAATGTGCGCGTGGATGTACGGTGCCCAGTTGCGTGGGGAAGGTTGTAAAAGTGGCCACCAGTTTGCACCCGGCCAGTGTGGGATGATCAATGTGAGCGATGCACGGGTGCGCTGTGCGTGATGGAGGACGGCCGGAACTAAATGGGGCGGGGGGAACGCAAAGCTATATTCTGATGTCCATGCGAGCGAGAATGCATCGACTGCGGTGGCTTGTGGATGAGGAATTTTAGTGCAGAAGCGTGGCAGCTGGGAGTTGCGGGAGTTTGCAAAGAGGTCGATGGAATGGGGACCCCAACGCCGTTCTAAGATGCGGAACCACGGCGTCTTCAACGAGTAGTCGTCATGATCGACTGCTTTTGAGAGCTCATCGGCGTGTGAGTTTAGCTCCCGTGGGATCCATTCGATGATTAGACGCGTGCCGTGCTCCATGCATAGTCGAATGATGTCTTGGCAGGCCGTGGTAAGGTCGGGGCTGCGCGAGCCACCTTTGCGAAGGATGAAGAAGACGCCCTGATTGTCCACCCGCACAAGAACATGTTTGTGCGTGATCTTGCTGGAGTATGTTTGGAGTGCCCAAAGCACACCTTCGATCTCCCTCCGTGTGCTGGACGTCGCTCGCAGCGGCTCTGGCATTGTTGCGCTAGCTTCTTCGAGGCCGCCAGGAAATGTGGTCAAAGTGGCGCCCCAACTGTGAGCGCTAGCATCCACATGGATGACAGCGTCGTAGCTGTTTCGAACGTGAAACGGTGCACCGTTGAACCTATCAAACTCTTCGAGCCAGAAGTTTAGCTCCTCAGCCGCGTTTGGGGGGATGATCACGCTGCTTTTCCATGAAGGTGCGTCATTGATCACTTGTAGCATGGCGTGGCTGAAAGCACGAGCTGTTGCGCCCAGCGCGACGCCCATTGACGCGAGCATGCCTGTGATTCTGGCCACTTGGCGGACTGAGACGGGTCGACATGCCACTTGGATGGCAGTACGTGTGAACGACGCATGCGCATATGCACCAGCGTGGTTACGCTCCCGAAAGGCCTGTGGTGGGCCGTGGCTCCATGGAAGCCAGTAACCGTTGGCGATGATGGATAGGACGAGGCTGCAAGGGCACCATGAGCTCCACCACGCAAAGGTCGAGCGAAGCCGACCGCACATCCGTGTGACGGTTTTGTCCGTGACGGCGAATTCGTACGGGCCATCGTCGCGAGGCACCTCGTATTGTTGTGCTCCTGTATGTACGGCAAGGAAATGAACGCGAACAATCAGGTTGCACGCCTTAATTAGTTCATGCGTGTGACATATACATGCATGCGCGAAAAATGAACCGTCAACAGTGAGGACCATACGGACGGTTTGTCGTCATTCCATATAGGGCGTCCGATCGCACCTTGGCAAACTCTTTCTCATACTCTCTCCTTTTCCCTCCCCTCGTTTTTTTTTTTTTTTTTTTCTGGAGGATTGATGCTTGGGACCATGATCATGCTTCCCTCGTGTGCTCTCTCTCTCTCTCTCTCTCTCTCTCTCTCTCTCTCTCTCTCTCTCTCTCTCTCTCTCTCTCTCTCTCTCTCTCTCTCTCTCTCTCGCTCTTTCTCTCTCCCTCTCTTTTTGGATGTGTTTCCATTGTTGTTTGAGCATTTGCATGCTTCGCTTGTCATGAGCTCGTGTCTTTTCGCGCGTGCCTTTACTTGGGCTAGGCGACATCGCTATGCCCTACTCCCCCCCCCTTGCTCCTTCTCACCCTTTTTGGGCTTCCAACGGTTGAACCAGGGCTGCTCATCCTTGCCATGCATGGTGGCGGTTTGAGTGAGGAGCGTACGTACTCTCTTTTTCTCCCTCTCCCCTTCTCCTCCTTTTTTTTTTTTTTTTTTTTTTTTTAATCCTTGACAAACAAGAGGGGCCTTTAATAAAATCCCTATCTCTCATGGTCATACATTGTCATGCCTACTAGCATGTTTCTCATCCCATCAATTGGGGCATACGGGGGACCGAGAGGCATTCTTCCTCTTCCCCAAAGCTAGACCTACGGCCATACTTTATTACCCTATCCTAGGGGACCGAGAGGCATTCTTCCTCTTCCCCAAAGCTAGGCCTATGGCCAACTTCTACCACCCTATCCTAGGGCTGGCCATGGCCACCGCAAGCCCTACTAGGCTGCCCACGGTCTAAGCACTCAAAAGTGCACCGTGCATCGCGCCTAGAGGCGCGCTTCACCATAGCCCGAACCTTACACAACCGGTGCGGGTCCTTGGCCCCCATGCCCATTCCGAGGGCAGGCATTGGCGACGTGGCCTGGCTGTCCGCAGCGAAAACACGAACCACGAAAGCCTTGGAAGTTGCCCGAGGTTGGAGGGCCACGTTTTGGGGCGAACGCCTTGGCGCCGTGGTTTCCACCACGGTGGGAGCGAGCGTGAGCGCCCGCCGCTCGGTCCATGGCAGCCACGTCCGCGACGGCTTGCTTGAACGGCCGCGAGGTGAGAAGGCTTTTCTGCAGGTACATCTTGTAGCGCTTGGCAACGCGGTCGTCGGATGCGTCTTCGACTTGAAACATGTCGAAGCGCGCGGAAATGTCGTCGAGGGCGGCGACGACCATTTCGAGTCCGCCCGCCAAGTCGCCGTGCTGCAGCTTGTGCTCTGCGTGTTTCAGGTAGGCCCGCATGTCCTCCAGAATCTCCGCTTTCGCCCGCACGTGCTCGTCGTTGAACGTCGCCGCCGACCAAGTGGTGTTAGTAGTAGAGGGGAGGGGGGGAAGATGCTCCATGGAATCAAAATTTGCGGTATGGACCGGAGCCTCACCATCATCGTCGTCGGAGCCGTCGGTGTCGTTGTCGGCCGCTGGCGCAGGTGGGATGCTGGCTGGTGCTTCCTTGTTGTGCCGGTTCGCCGTTGTTCCTCGCGCTCCTTTTTCCTTTTTTGCGTTTTCCTTGTTAGCAGATGCAGACGCCGCGGGTTGTGCAATTTCCGTAGCTGTAACGCTGGCGGGTTGTTGCTGTAACAGGGACAGAAGCGCAGCGACCTGGTCCGGAGTCAACGCGTTGGTCAACGCCGGGGTCGTCGCGTCAGAAGAAGTCGATGTTCGGCGCCTCTGGCGCTGACGCGACGGTCCAGCCACAGGCGCCGGCGTGTGCTCCGCGTCAGGCGCGTGTGGCACCCCAGGTGCTGCAGGTGCCGCCGTCGCCACTTGCGCCACACGCGCCTCAGGCGCCACAGGCGCCACAGGCGCCACAGGGGCCGAGGGGTGCTGCTGCTGGGGCGGGCTCGAGCTTTTGTTGACCTCGAGCCCGCCCAACAGCACGTCCACGGCAGTTGGGGCGGGCGATCCTTCCTCTGCCCGCCGCTTGTTACGGCGATCGCCCGTCATTTCTCGGGCGTTACGGTCGGAGTCGGAAACCGGCGCAGACGAATTGACGCGGTTAAGTGCCGGCGTAGACGCCATTGTAGATCGATTGTGGTTGAAAATGTCTTGCAGAAGTGTTGAGGGTGACTCGCCTCTGGGAAGGGTGCGAGTTCTAGCCAGCTTGGACGGGGAAAAGAACTACTCGAGCGGAAATGTTGATTGAGCCGTTGGAAAACGAGAAACGTGGGTGGAGGGAATGAACTCCAACCCACGGTTTTTGTAGTTGGAGAAGGGCGTTTAGCGCGCTTCGACGCTGCCAAATATTCGGTACAGTCAGCTTCGCTTTCACAATACACAATTTTGAAAAACATCAATGTGTTTAAAAATTATAAATTTTCTTTTGTTTCTTTCTAGTCAGGCTGGGAAAACAAATGCCACGTTGACCGCGATTTGCAACTTTCACGTAAATGTTAACTCTTAGAATCAAAATGCCTATTCGGCATCCCAACGATCCAACCGATCTTTTTCTTCCCAATCGGACTTCACCACATTAAATCTAGAGTTTCCAACCAGCGCACAACCCATCCTAGATGAGAAGATTTAAACAAACGGTGACATACTGGCTTCAAAATCTAGTCAACCTCCTAGGTTGTTAGAGTTAGAGTAGCCCCTCCACCCCCAACCTATTGCTGAAGTTTTAGTACCTGCCCAAATTTGTTTTGCCTGCGTGGACTAAGGTCCAACAGGGGCTAGGCATGCGCCCAGCATCTTGTCACTAACCTCCCTCCAAGACACTGGACTGGTTAAGCCAAGACAGGCGTGGAGACGGTGACTGAAACTTAGAAGGACTGATCAGTTCGAAAAGGGTAAAGCAAGACAAGCCACTGCAGAGAACTGACTGAGTTTGCGGACTACAGTTGTTTCCAAACCAATAAACACGTTGATTCAAGGTTAAGGAAGAAAAGCTTCAACTCCATGTTTACCAGCAGGGAGGAACAAGGAGTGGCGAAGCACAAAGCAGAGGGCGGGGCGGAGGCGGGGAGCACGCAGGTGGAGCAAACCCAGTGTGCCTCTTACAGGTATTTGAGCGACTTGAGTGCAGAGATGCTGCTGGGAATGGAGCTGCTGAGAGTGTTATGAGAGCCAAGATCCCTGTGTGCGGGTGATTACACAAAGGTTCAATCCTTGTCCGCAGAGGGTGGCTGCAACTTAGAACTGATGATCAGGTCACAAGGGCTATAGCAATGAAAACAGACGCAGAGGATCGACTGAGATTGTAGAAATTACGATTGTGTGGAGGCAGTTGTGAGATCTGCCGAAGCAATAAACACGTGGATTAGTGGTTTGAATAATCTCGAAGTATATCAACAAGGGGGAACACGGAGGTGAAATATGATGCAGACAACAGAGGGGTGGAGGAATGGAGTGGGCATGCAGAGCGCATGGGCAGAGGAGGAGTGCCAGCAGTGATGCGCACATGGCATGCAGCACCCAGTGGACAGAGCAGCACGCAGGTGGAGCAAACCCAGTGTGCCTCTTACAGCCATGTGAGTGCCGTGAGTGCGGCGATGCCATCGGGAATGGCTCCCTCGAGATAGTCAGAGTTGAGATTTCTGTGTGGGGTTGAGAGTTAGACCGATGAAATGAGAGACACAAAGCCCTGTCCACAGAGGGTGGCTGGAGCCTGGAGGGATTGATAAGTTAGGGCTAGAGCAAGCCAATTGAATGCAGAGTACTGACTGAGATCGTAAAGGTTGAGATTGCATATTGGCAGCTGTGAGATTTGCCAAAGCAGCAAATGCATGACTTCCATGAAACATAGCAGCTGGGAGGAGCACAGAGTGGAGATGGGATGCAGAATGTGGGAGGCATGGGCATGCAGAGTGCATGGGAAGTGGAGGAGTGCCAGCAGTGATGCGCACATGGCATGCAGCACCCAGTGGACAGAGCAGCACGCAAGTGGAGAAAATTCTGTGTGCATCTTACATGTATGTGAGTGCTGTGAGCGCGGAGATGCTGTCGGGAATGGAGCTCGTGAAAGAGTTAGAGCTGAGATCCCTGTGTGGGGTTGAGTGCGTTGAGCGTGATGAGACAAGTGAATCACATTCCGGTCTACAGACAGACAGCATCATCGCGCTCTGGCATGGGTGCCATGGTGACAAGATTAGACACATTGTCAAGTATCTTTTCAACCGCACGCATGCAAGAAAGGGTACGTCCATCTTGATATGAGCATCGAACCGAACTTAAGTTCGGTTCGAAATGTTCGGTTTGAGTTATCTCGAACCGAACTTTTTTTTCTGCGAAAAAGGTTTGTTTGAGCAAACCCTGAAAAAGTTCGCGCGAACAGTTTGCGCAAACTTTTCCGGTTCGAGATTTGAACCTCAAACCGAACAGGTTCGAGGTTCGAAAGGGTCGAATTCGAACCGCGAGGGGTTCGAAGTAAATTAACGTCAGAAAGAATACGCTCGCGACTTTCCCGTAAAAAACGGGAAAGTCGTACGTTGGCTGCCAGTTGAGGCAGCCAACCCTAATCTCGTAGCAGAGTAGATATCGAGATCTAGATCAACTCTAGCTCACCCAATGCCTCCCTCCCCACTACCGTTCTTTCACCTCAGCTCCAACTTAGGATGTGTCAAAACTTAACTTGTTTGTTAGGTTTGACAGTTTAGTGATGCTGTCCATAAACCATTGGACATGCATGTGTTGTAGAATAACATGTGCATCATTCTAAACCTCAAACATGAAAAGGTTTGAGTTCGCTCAAACCTTAGAAGGTTTGAGCAAACCTTTAGGGTTCGCCATCGTATACTCAAACCTCAAACCTTAAAAGTCTGAAAAAAGTTCGAGCAAACCTGTTCTGTTCGGTTCGACCAACATTCAAGGTTCGAAAAGGTTTGCGCAAACATGTTTGAGTTCGGTTCGTGCTCATATCTACGTCCATCCACTTCATACTGCTAAACTTAAAAGATTTCAGTACCTAAAAAAAAAATTCCATTGGCAAACCATGGGCCATGGGCCACACAAAGGTGACATTGGTGAGGCCTTCGTGGCCGCGGGGGGTGCGGAGGTGGTGGGTGAGAGGAGGGAAAATGTGGGGGTGCCCACCAGTGCGGAGCAAGGGCAACTTAAGGCCATTGCTGGCTACTTGGTATATGGTATGCATGGCACAGGTAAGTCATCAGACAGGTAGAGCTAACTTAGTGTGCATCTTACAAGTGTGTCTGTGCCTTGAGCGAAGAGATAATGCCAATGATGGAGCCGTTGAGGTGGGAAATATTGCCAAGATCCCTGTGTGGGGTTGAGTGAGTTGGACATCAAATTCCATAGGCTGGATCGTTCTTGGAAGGACTGATCAGTAAGGGGC